AACATATATAATTATATATTTCTACAATAGCTTTTCTTCCAGAACGCCTTATTGATTTATATATATATATTTATAATTATATATTTCTCCAATAGCTTTTCTTCCAATTCACCTTAAATATATTTGCTAATATCTATAAATTTATATTTCTCTAATAGCTTTTCTTCCAATACACTTTACATTTATTTGTGAATATATATAAATTTATATTTCTCAAATAACTTTTCATACAAAACTCCTTAAAAATATTTGTGAATCTATATTTATTTATACTTCTACTATATCTTTTCATCCAAAACGCATTACAAATATTTGTTTATTTATATAAATATATATTTCTACAACAGCTTCCATCCAGAACGCCTTATTGCTATTTATGCATATTTATAAATATATATTTTTTCAATAGCTTTATTGCCAAATCACCTTACATATATTTACGAATATTTATAAATTTATATGTTTAGAATAGATTTTCATCCAAAAAACCTTACAGATATTTGTGAATATATATTAACTTATACCTCTACTATATTTTTTCTTCCGAAACACTTTACAAATATTTGTGTATTTATATATTTTAATTTTTCTACAATAGCTTTATTCCAAATCACCTTACATATATTTGTGGATATATATAAATTTATATTTTTACAATAGCATTTCATCCAACCACCTTACCGATATTTTTGAATATATCTAATTTTATATTTCTACAAAATTCTCTTCCAAAATACCAAACAAAGATTTGTAAATATATAAAAATATATATTTCTACAATAACTTTTCCTCCAAAACACCTTACATATATTTGTGTATATATATAAATATATATTTTTACATTAGCTTTTCATCCGATTCCGGAGAACTGTCTTTAGCTGGGAATTATGTTAACTATTCCGGCAGAGGACTTCCGACTAAATGAGTCCTTCTAATTCACACTGATAACATGAACAAGTTGCGAAAACGAGGTCAACCTTCTTCTATACTCGAACATATTTTTCGTTTTTAAGTATGCTTTAGAGGATAGCAGATGCATACACCCTATTTAATATAGGGTGATACAGGACTAGTAGTTGAGTTTTCCCTCAATCATATGTGTAGAACTGACGTTTTCATTGAATTTCATAGAGCTTTGCTTTTCCAAAAGGTGTTCTCATCCATTCTGAGGTGAACTGCAATTTCGACTTTGCCTAGGTCTTATCAATACTCCCATCAGTACTCGAACGATGACGAATTAGCCTTTACTCTCGACACGTTAATCCCCACGCCACATTGGTACGGGTGCCCTTCGGTCACAGGGCAATTGTGAATTTCAAGGGGGCCAGGCATTTTCCCATGTCACATTGCTTGGTGGGATTTTGGATGAAGCAAAGTTATAGCTGCCATGACAACCGAGCATATTACTTATTTTTCGTACATTAGTTGGGTTTCGAGACTACCAGTTTATCAGTTATATGAGACGTAGTTGGTCACATGTTCTTTGCATTTCGAAGGAAAGGTTGGTTGGTAGAAATTTGTGAAATGGTCTAACCATAACCCGAAGAGCAAAGGCGTTTGGTTTTAGTACATTTTTGCGCTATTTTGTAAAGTATGAATGTTTACCCTGATGATATCCGTCACGGTGGTACAGACGAATGCTTAGCTCGAAGGAGATTTCCTCAGAAACGGCGTCTACAAGAGTTTTACAGTAAAGCCAATCGACAGTTGGTAAAGAGGAATTCGCAGACTTTTCTGGTAGGATTGACCTTTGAATATCTTTACCAAACACTTTTACTCGAAATGGAAGTAAGCTCAACAATTAGGAAACAAGAAATTCCTCAAAAACAAACTTTTCTTTCGCTGTTATACATTTTTTTGCTGATGAAGCAAATCACTTTCATACATGGAGCTTGATGAGGTTCTCCCTGTTATTGCAAATGCCAAGAGACTCTTAATGCATGTAGCGAATTAATATATAAACTTAGCAATAAATGCCATGCTAAGCACCTCATCCTATAAAGACATTTTCTGATGCCCATGAAACCTGACCTTCAATTTTGTATAAAAAATTCTAGCATAACCTAACATTTTTCATAGCTTATTTTTCTAATAATTCCAACTCCTGGGGAAACATGAGATCTCGTGATTTAGAATATGTATTGCTTGGACGATGTCTGCCATAGCCGTACACACGATAGCTTAGCACAAGTTGACCGGCCTCGCCATACGGTGAGTCGAAGACTTCTTCGCGAAATCCAATAGTCACCACCACGCGGTACTTCTTCTCCCGTTTCCAGTGAGACCAATTCCCGAATTTGCTTCGAAATGAAAAGCCAAATCGTATTTTGGCATGCCTTGTCATTGTGCCTCCTCGTCCAGACGATGTCTGTCACTACACGGCAGAAGAAGGCATTGTACCGGTTCATCAAGTTAGCAGAACGAGGAGCCGAGAACTTGTCGGCACATTCCAAAAGTCTTCATTCCTTCAAGGCATTCCCATTTCGTGTTCTGGTGTCTTGCCATTTCAAGAGGCCAACCCAGCCAACTTTTGCTTAAAAATGAAAAATCATGTAACAATACATGCATACCAACTGGGCATCCGGTTTCTTTCGCTCTTAGGATTGGCAGCCTGATTCTGCTCGCTTGGGGTGCCGGATCAAATATGCATTCATACACACACACACACACACACACACACACTCCACTAAAACCACCTAGACATGTGCTATTTGGTAGACTGCTTTCTCTAGACGTCCGGTTGGGCAGCATGCTACATTTCGCACATGGGGCCGGAGCAAGCATACACACATTTGTATATACATTCTCACGTCAGTTCATGCATACATACAAACAAGCATAAAAACATGCATCTTTATCGGCACTACTTAGACATGTGCAATCTCTTGTACTGCTTTTCTTCCACCTCATAGTGGGTTGAATGGTATCATCCGTCTAGGACGCTTGACAAACACAGATACAAACAGATCTATTAGAACCGCCTAGACATGTACAACTTGTTAGACTGTTTTCGCCTCGGATTCAGGTTGGGTAGCCGGCCACACATCGCCTATGATGCATACATACATGCATACATACATACAAACAGGCATAAAAAGATGCATCTCTATTAGCACTAGCTCCCTCGACCCCAAAGTGGGTAACATGATATCATTGGTCTGGGATATTTGATAAAGCATCCAGTCATACATCTCTGTTTGTGCCACCTTGGCATGTACAACTTTTTGGGCACAGGCCCAACTTGCTTAGGGTGTCACATCAAACGCATATATTTAATCTAGACATCAATGCACTCCTGCACACATACAAACACAATCAAACACATACATGCACACATGTCTATAAGCATACAAGCATATATTTCTATCAAAACCGACCAGACATATACAACATGAGATGCTGCATTCTTTGGACCTCGGAACGGCGGACCGCTACTGCTGGGATCCTTCAACCCTTGCTTTGGGGGTTTCGGTTCGACCACTTACGCGTCCCGTCCCGTCTCGTCCTCTCCCCTTGCACCTCGTCCGGACGGCACGTCGGCACGTCTCAGGCCTGCCTGTCCGCTTGCCAGCGGTGGGAGTGAAGCACACTCGACGCTTCTCTCCTCATCGCTTTCGCTGGTCCGTCCGTCGTCCGTCGGTCCGACCGCTCACTGCAACTGACGCTTGGTTGACTAGCCCCAGACGCGGCCAATGCAGCGCCCACGCACCGTTGAGGCAAGGATCTAAGCGTCGTGTGGTGTTGTGTTGTGTTGTGTTGTGTTGTGATGTGTCGCCATTGCCTTCAGACCAAGCCATGTAAGAACAGGTCAGACAAGGTTAGGCTAGACAAGATGAGACGAGACTAGACAAGACTAGTTGGCCAATCAGAAGCAGACATGGAATGGGCCAATCAGCTGCTTGCCTGTGATGACCAATCAAAAGGCTGTGTCATTATGATCAAACCCTGCGTCGACCATGCTCTCGCGGTGCTATTCGATCTGCTCCCGTTACGACCAGCTTGTTGGCGTCAATCGCACCTTCGGCCATCGCCTTTACTCTCCTCAAGCCTTGCGTCATGATTGAAGTGCGTCGACTTGGCACCATTCTTCTAGGCCTCGCCATCGGCTTCCTCATCGTCGGCCTCGCCACCTCGAGCTGGAAATGTGGCAACCTCTTCCAGCGCTACTGCACCAACGAGTCGGGCATCGTTGCCGTGCTTGCACTCCTCCTTGTCGGCCTCGTCTGTCTTGTCGTCGTCTTCATCCTCGACATGATCGCTCACTGCTCGGATATATACTTCGCTAATCCCAGCTACACTACGGCTCGCTTCATCATCCTCTACATCGGAGCGGGCGCTGTCGTCATCGCGATCCTCATCTACGCCAGCAGTCTCACCTCCTCGTGGTCCTACTTCATGGCAACGGTTGGCATGGTGTTTGCTGTTCAAGTGGCCATACTGGCCATCCTGGGCTCACGTTGCGTAACTCTGCACACCGAACGCGTGATCGTTCGGACGACCCGTTAGACTGCACACATATTGTCTCTAACCTGCTTTCTCTCTCTATCTCTCTCTCTCTCTATCTCTCTCTCTCTCTTTCACGCAGACTCATTTCCTTCTTTATTTTTTCTTTTCTTTCTTTCACCCGTTCTCATACTCCCCTCCTGAGCACGCCCTCACACCGAATTGCCTTAATCCGGTCTCTTCTGCTTCACTAGAGCTAAACAACTCCCCATTCTGAGTCGGTCGAACGGTTTTGGCACAAGTCCATTTGGGCAGCGAGTAGTTGCAGTCTCGCTTTATAGCATTTCAATTAAAGAATTGGCCGCTTTTACATGCACAGTCAGTTCTTCTTGGATTTTACCCTTCCTGCGGATATTTTTGCTTTCAAGCCCTACACCCAAGAGGGCTAGGGCTTTGTCTAGATAACTTTTTTCGTTTTTTATCCTTGCTGGAGAACTTTTTACACTGGAATAGTCAGGCACTTATATTTGATTTTTAGGTTTTACACCAATAATATTGCTTATATATTACCCCCTTGAACTGGGGCCTCCCGAAGCTTTTTGTTTCATGTTATATCTGTACCTCTGCACCCACAGCGCAACGAGCCCCGGCTTCTGTCGCCCGCTTTATTGCTTTGAACATATACAAATATTTTAACCGGCTTTATTGTTAAGAGGCTAAGTTTATCTACAACGCTATACGTATTTTCGAGCGATCCATGTTTATATATGCGCGCTTTTATGGTCTGCCATTTGGTGCTCTCGTTGGCGGCGAGCGTGAAATTGGTCCACGCTCGGGCACGGATGAAACTGCAGTCTCAGGCGGCATCATGC